ATTAAAATAGATATAAAATAATATAATATATAAATATTATATATTATCACAACATATAAAATAATGTAGAATTTTGTTAATTTTAAACTTTTTTAAATATTTTATTATTTTTGCCGTTTTCTTAGATAAAACACTTAAGCAAGATTTTTATGACAAAGTTTAAACCAATAATTAAACAAAAGTGCTTTGTTTAAATATTTGGGCAACTGCTTTTAGAAATTATAGTTTTCACAGATGTTACAAGGTCTTGGGCTATATAAAATGTGACGTAAATGTATATTGTTTACTTATTATTTGAAATAAATAATAAATAAATTTCATATTATTTCACATGAATGAATAGAATGCAATTAATTCTAAACTCAACACATTTTTTAAATATAACTAATAAAAAAGATAAGGTAGTAGACTCATCAGTGTGTAGTCTTTGAGTCAATTAATTTCTAACTAAAAATTTGCCAATATGTGTACTCACATCTGTGTAGTTGAGATAAGAAGTCATTTGTCAGTTCCCAATCGAATAATATATACATACTTGTATGTATATGGCACCCTAATGTACACACATAAAGGTTACCAAAACTTTTGAACAAAAACCACACCAGCAATTAATCTTTGTGGATCCAAATATGTTTCAAGAACCATACGTAACGCTCCCTTAACCATATTCAAAAATTTCGCTTATTAACAAATCCATTGGTAGAGTTAATATTTTCATAAAATCCATTAATGGACTCTTTTTCGAATTATAATTTTTAAGGATTGCATCAAATGAATCATACATTTTCACCTACTTGCAAATTAAGAATAAGATTAAAAATATAATTAATCTTACAGTAATATCTCCCATTCCTTTTAGTCACATATTGTGTTAAAAACTTTATTAAAATAAATTTAATTAGTATCTAAAACGTAGAAGCTTTTACTGTTATTTCCAACTAAACTTAATAAGAATTGTAATTTTTATGTTTTGCATGAAATGAATCATGAGTACTTATCCATACGTACATTTTAGTTACTTAATTTAAAATCAAATATAAGATTCAAAATTGTATGCATTATTTTCTTATAAATTAGAGACATAAAATTACAATCCCTGCTAATAATCTTATTAAACTTATCAAATCCAGTTCAATATCTGAAGATTAAAAATGGTTAATATAAGTTGGAATTAAATAAAAACTATAACTTAAAATCTGAATTTCAATTTCTGCTAAAACTCTTATTAAACCTAACCAATTCAGTTCCAGTTCAAAACCTATAGTGCAGGACTTCAGCCCACTTAAACCTGCTCTTAGGAATGAATTGAGAAGATTTCGACAGCAATGTGGAAACTTCTTTCCAGTACTCAGGGGAGAAAGATATGAGCGAGAGGGTTAATATCTAGTAAACTAGATTTATCTAAGCCAGAAAGAATGGTCGTAGTGTGGGTAAAATTGGGATAGTGGAGGCGGCGGAATTTTTACGCAAGCGCTAGAATGGTGTTAGCGGTAGACCTGTGACCAGAATCGATATTGTCAGAATGTTGTAAACAGAATCCATTTTCTATTTGCTTGCATCATTTTTCGTTCCTTTCATTTAGAGAAATTTAATCACCTTGGTGATTCTGATGGAATCGAAACTTTTACAATTCTTTAAAATTTGCTAAGTATACAAAATTTAATTAATTTAGTTATGGCGTTGCCACCTGTTGTGAACTCAGGTAATTATCAATTCACCTAGTATAGATAGTCGGGTTATGGTGAAAATTTATTAAGAGCATTATAAAGTTTATTGTTAAAGTTGTTCTTATTCTTCCATTTGAAATATTTTATACTTCTATTATTTCTAATATCTTCCGGTTTCAAACATTGCCAGTATGGTGAACAGATCATTACATCCTGTCATCCACTTAATATAACAAAAAATATATTGAAATCCTTATGGTTACTTCATTAGTATTCGTACAGGTACCGTGGCTTTGAGAGTGTATAAATATATTAACTATTTTTGCAAACAACAAACGAAACAACTTGTAAACTAATAATTACTAAATTGAAATATAAATAATATCTGAGTTCTCTAATAAATACAATAAAAAGTGAAAAAATTGAAGAAAGATTCAGTTGCTAGCCTGAGAGGAGACCTAAGTTACTGAAACCTCTACGGAACTCATCGAAGAACTAATTTATACATAAGTATGTATATTCAATATTAATGAATAACATCAAACTTTTTCTTTAATTACTGAAATAATATGAAAGCCTCAGTCAAAGTAAATTTCTGGCTATATAACTGATAATAAATATTTAATTTCAAATTAAGATAATAAATTTATTAATAATACATTGTTCAATTCATCATTAACGTCCGTTTTGACGAAAAATACTAAATTACTAATTAACATAATATAAACTATTGCTTTCAATAGAGATGATTTAATCGAACAGTAGTGAATTGTAACAACAAAATTTTATTATTATTTTTAATTAATTGAATTTTTATCTGACTTATCAGTGGTGTTTGAATTTTTTTGTATATATAATTGTACGTTAATAATTTTTTGAAATTGCAATTACTATACGTTGAACTTGCATCCTGCCAAACTTGAAACTCGGAGTCAGTCTTCATTAGCCAACTAACCCAAAGCCGTAATTAAGTTGTATGTTCGAACTTAGAGTTTCGTTAATTTGCTATGAAAGTTCTTTAACAAATTCATTTCCTGTGTTATATTAAAACGAAATCATAAACCAGCTGTAGAATAATTAAATTAATTATTTAAATTTTTTTTTATATGTTGAATTTCTAAAAAAAGTTTTCAACCAATTAATTTTTAGATTTACTAAAAATACCACCTAATTTCAATTTTAAATTCTGCTTGTTTTTGTATATATATATATATATATGTTATACTTTTTATGTATATACTTTGATAAGTAAATAAATTAATTTAAATAAATAAATTTATTTATTTAAATAAATATTATGAGAAATATTTAAAATGTTAAATATGCTTCTTTTTTATTTCAGTTGAAGTTGAAAGACAGGAAATTTCCTCAACTTCCACTACGCCATCCAGCGTTGGCATGGCTGCACTTGGTAATGGTGCAGCGGCTT